TAAGAACTTGTGACCTTCCAGACCCTGGTAAATTTTCTTTTTTCCTATTTCTCTTGTATTCGGCAAGAGACCATTATCTCGTCATCGAGTCACGGATCATTTTTCTTGCAACTTGTACGGCACTCAAAACCCCAATCCAAATTACCCATTTTACTCTTGTCAAAGTCGGTCAACTGGAGGCGGTGTGTGTTATATTTACATCCAACAAATTTCGCCCAGTGTATGTTCAAAAGTCGAAGAAAGAAATTTGCAGTCAACAATAACAAAAAGGGGGGAAACCGCCACATTTAAATTTATGTTGATGTTGCACATCCAAATCGGGTGTTACTTTCTGTGGCGACTGTACATGTACGTACTTGTAATTCTTCAAATATATTAATGATAACCCTCTCAAGAATGAGAAAATCGTTACGTATACGTACTTAAAATGTTAATTATGGAAAGTACGATCTATCACTATTAATACTGGACGAAACCTTTCGCCATAGCCACTTTGGAAATGTAAGTGACGAATTGACGAAGCTTTATCAATTTATCGGTTTATTTTTTTTTGTTTACCAGAGGTATATAAATTTAAAATTATACGTACGTACACTTTTCTCAATGCTGGCCAAAATTCAGCATCGGCCAATCAAATACATGTACATGCACCAGTTTTCTAATGACGTATGTACATTCTTTTAAAATTCGGAATGCATAGAGATAGGATTTGTACATGTAATTAAGCTATTATATTGATTGGTCAGAAGGTTTCGTTACAGGTTTCATGGGTTTCATCCGACGAATGACGTGACGAAACCTTTCGTCATTATGAAAGTAGTTTCGTCAGGTATCATTAGTCTTTGGTGTATCTCAGCAGATGCATACAACCAAAAACGGTCCGCCACTATTTCCGTGCGGACTGTAACAATTCCCCCAGAAAATTGTAATATACACGAGTGTTAAAGTCTGGTCTACGGTAATTTGGATATCTTGTTGGCATTCTAATTGATTTAATATTTCATCGTGCAAGTAAAAAGATAAAATATGTATCGAGTTAAATGAAAGAAAATTTTCAAAAAATAATGACTAAAAATCAGCTAGCTTTATCAATTACATGGACATGTACTAATATTACTTTAATTACAGGTTTGCTTTAGCGTTACAATAATAAAAATTTTCTGGATCGGAGAAATGCACTATTGATTCCTTATGTTTTTTGGATTTTGTACATGTACTACACAATATCGATATACATGAACATGTACGGCAGTGCAGTGTTGTCACTTGGACGTGATTCCAGCAATTTGATTGGTTAGGACACTTGTCCAAACCAATCAAATTGCTGGATTCACGTCCAAGCGACAACACTGATCATCATGTACATACATATCGATATACATGTACATAGAATATGTACGTATACTATAACAACATTTCCATTCTTCACAAACACAGAAAATGGCATCTCTGCTTGTATCATTATGTCTCCGCGAAATATTCAAATACTTTTGCGTATCAGAAGGAGAAAAATGCAATAAAAACGAAATCAATTATAACAGACGCCAACTTTATCATTTTGCATTAGTGAACCGTCATTGGTGTGATACAGCAATTCCATTATTATGGGGAGGACCGTTTCCTTCGACCTCAGTAAAAGCTGACGCAGTATTTATTTCGACGTTATTAAATTGCTTTGATACTAATGGACAAGAATCAAGACCATTATTTCAATATAATCTTTTTATTAAACAATTATCTTTGAAATCTTTGTCAAATGCAATTATTAATTGGTCAAAATCAGAGCATTATTCCAATCAACCAGAAGCGCGAAAAAATGCAGCACCAGAAAGTCTCCTTAAAAAATTTAAATCGATTCGCTTTAATCGGTCAAATTCAAAACGCTATCACAATCAACAAAATAATAAGACACCGGAAAATCTCCTTGAAACATTTAAAGCTATGCTTCATAATTTTATTGATAGTACAGAAAATACTTTCTTTGAAATCGAACTTGATGAAATCGGTATCGATATGAAAGTTTCAGGCGACTATTATAACTTCAATTATAATATATTCCAAATACCGAATTCCAAAGTATCGTTAGAACAATTACATTCTTTAAAACTCTCCTTTACTGATAGCACAGAACTTCTTGAATCAGCATCAAAAACTTGCCCTAATCTTTCTATGCTTGAAATGATTTTTTATCTAACAATGTCTTCAGAATCTCGTCAAATATTATCACACATTAGCTCTTTTGCAAAGTTAAAATCTCTAAGCATCAACTGTATTAATCCAATCGATGTTTCTTTCTACGAACAACATAATGGCGACCAGCTTATTGACGAACTTGGTAAAATTTTACCCAAAAGATTGGAAACTCTTTTAATTAAAGGATATTTAAATTTTTCGGTAGATTCTTTTAAATCGTTTTTTCATGGTGCAAAAGGAATACATTTCAAATCTTTAGAATTCCCTTACACATATCTTTCAGACGAGCTTTTAGAAATCATTTTGGAAGTCATAAATGATTCTAGTTTGGATGTTGGAATTCAACAAATTGGAGCTGATTTAACAAGTAAACAGATGAAGAAATTCAAAGATCACGGAATCGCATTAAAGAACGATAAAGCTAAATTTTATCCAGAAGGTACAAGTTAAGAGAATTTCTGATTACTGTATTTACAAATCCTGGGTCATGTATGAATACAATATATCTATATTATAGATTTAAACTATGGTTGCGTTCTCTACGATTGCGTTCCTGATTACTTTCTCTACAATTACGTTTCCGACAATTGCGTTCTCTACGATCTTTAGCAAAAGGAATTTATTTCGTGACGGTTGGGGCGGGGGCACCAGATTGTTATGTTTGTTATAACAATCGATTGATTAAGGGACTTTTCGCAACGAATGTTGAGAGTTAGATTGAATTATTTACGGTTAAAGGTTCTCTTTGGTTGTTCTAAAGGTTTCCCGTAGAGACTTGTACACAAATCGACCTTTCTGCAATAATAAGGGGTGTTTGAAAGAGGAAATAAAATAAATTCGCTTTTGTAATAAGAACTAAATTGCTATAATAAAATCGTTTTATTCAATAATTGAAAACGATTTCAAATATGACAGGTCTTATTGATACGGCCTATCTAAGAAAAACTAAACTAATTCAACAGGACTTATTGATACAGCCTGTACAAGGAAAACAAAATCAATTCGACAGGACTTATTGATACGGCCTGTCCAAAATAACAATTCAAAAGAAATCGACGGCTTATTTAGAGTGGAGGAGCATCCTCTACTTGTGAATACTCTATTATTTTATTTTCCTTGATCAAACTTCAAACCTTGTGAGTGATTACAAGTAGTTTTATTATTACCAAGAACTTTGTTATTTTATTAGATTAAAAACAAGATCAAAAAATATCTTCTCAGAGATTCAAAGATATTTCTATATATAATTCCAAATTACTATACTAATCCTGTGCTATTCTAAGATTAGTAATTTACATTAATGGTTTCTCTTGAAATGACCAAGTAATAATTGTTTAAAGTCTTTCAATTATTTAGATAATTATTGAGACAATTATCTTTCTTTGATAATCGCTATTGTTATATATTGTTACACATTTTTCATTAATTGTGAAATTAGCTAATAAACATGAATTGGATTTGGGAGAGGAGATTAAACAATTACAAAATAATATGAAAAATATATCTAAGTTCTATATTCATTTTTACTGAAATTGTTATAGTTTGAAAGAAATAAATTGTGAAAGAGGCAAGTAGTTTGAGTTTCAATTATATATAGTATTTCAATTAACTATACTAACTAAACAAGATACTCTAATCAATACACTAATTAAAATATCAATTAAGATACAATTCTTTGTACTAATATAAATATATTTTAGAGCAAAATAATAACAAAATAATAAAGACTCTTTTATTTTATTCTTTACAAGAAAGAAATCACAATATTTTTTTATTTGAGAAATTCAAATAATTTAATTATAACAAAAATATTAAAAGACTAGTATTATTATTAAAACTCTGTTTTGATCTGTTTGAATTAGATTTAGGATTAATCTGAACTAATAATTTTAGATCAGATCAGATTTGATACCATCGAAAAATTTTTGAGGATGCAGTTTTGTGCAGATTTTTGGATCCAAAAATCTACACAAAACTTCAAACCTGGTGACAATTGGTAAAGAAAATTTTTTAAAAAATCTGTACAGATCTGCAATAAAATATAGGTCTGCATAGATTTTTTTTAAAATTCTGCGCAATACTTTGCAATATCAATTTTAAGTAGCAGTAGCAGTAGTAATTTCAAGTAACAGTAGAATTCATAGGTTAAACAATAGTAAAAAATATTTATTTTATTGTAAAGTATATATATATAATAATAAAATACAAATTTAAAAAAACTATATTACATATATTCATGATCAAAGTCAGTGATCTTTTGAATAAAAAATTAATTTTTTTACAAGACTTCAAAGAAACAAATTACAAAAAGTAAAGAAATTTACAAAATTGTCATAGTTATCATCTTCTTCCTCTTCTTCTTCTTTTTCAATCATATTCCCAGCTTGAAACTTTTGGTATTTTTTCTTTGCCGCTTGTTCTACCTCTTCAATTTTTTTCTGCTATCTCTGCTATCATTTCTGGTATTGCTGGCTGGTTGTTTTCTATAGTTCATTAAATATTCAATATATGAATAATTTTTAATGCAAATTTAAACAAATTCAAAGTATTACTTACTATAAATACGTAGACACGTCTCATTACTGACTTATCTTTGTATTTTATTCCTGAACTTGACAGACTAAGGAGAATATCACAGATAGCTAGAATAAATATGCAATGTATCATTAGCAACACTTTTCTCTTATATTGTTTAAATATCAGGTAACTAATATTTATAAGTAATTTATTGTTGTTAAAGAGATTTTTATATATGTTTTGAGTTTTTTTGCTTTTCTTCCATTCAGCAAGATAAATGAAAAAAGTGTTGTTATCGATCCTTACTAACTTCTCTTTACTGAATGTTGAAAAGATAGCATTTCAAACAGTGAAAGCATAGTCATTGTATTTACTGTGGCATTTTGCTCTTATCTAAAATTAGCAAACAAAAATAATTAGTAAAAAATCTATAGATTTATATAATTTATGACGAATTTGATGATTGTATTTCTCTGTGAATATGAATATTCATGCATTATAATCCACACTATTAATATAATCTTCGAAATTTTCTGTTAAATATTTCTTTAGCATTTGTTAATACTTCTTGAGAGTTGGAAAGAAAATTGTAGAAATTAACTTCTTGGCTACCTTCTTGTACACTTGTTGTATAGAAAAAAGAACTTTAATAGATCTTGCAGATTGATTTTTGATTTTAAAAGTAATCAAAGATAAGTACCTTTCAGAATTTTTCAGATAGTTCATCAGTAATGACTAATTTTTTAATTAATTTGGTTTGTTCTTGTATTTGATCATCCAGAAATAATATAGATTATTAATTTTATTATTTATAATATTTATTGTATGCTCGAATTCTTTGAAGGTCAGAGATCTTTCATTGTTTGACACTTGATTAGGTGAAAATAGAAATTATATTGGTGATGAAAAATGCCCAACATTATCAATTTTCATTATTTTATTGCTAATTGATAAATGATTAGATGGTGTTAATTGATAAAAAGAAGAATGAGATGATGAAAGAGAAGAAACCATGATAAGATCTATGATTTTTTTATGCTTGTCTTTATCACCTATTATATATAATAAAAAGAAATATTCATTTATAATATTTCTGTACAATTTTTTGCAAATATCAATTTGCTAACCTAATAAAGATAAAATAGTAGGTGAAACAGCAAGTAAAACAGCAGCATCAGAAATTTAAAATACTAGCAGAATTGCGGTAAACTTCGAACCTGGTGACGAAAGGCAAAGAAAAAATATTCAGTTTAAAGAAATGCAAATATCTCCGCATGCAGTGGACCAAATTGAATGAAT